GGAGGGAGGATCGGGGTACACCAGCAGAGCTCCATCCAGCTTGCTCTGAATTATGTTGTCGGCCACCAAGCACAAAAAATGCCAGCACATCAGCATTAGACCAAGATGTTGTCAATATTGTTTTTAAAATCTTTAAAATAAGTCCAGCCGCTGCTCCAGTCTGAGAAATTGCAAATGGCGGATTATTGTTTTGAAACGTTTCTGAAGGATCCAGTGACTCCGCCCCCGACTCTGCCCCCGACCAATCAGTGACCGACAGTGTTCTGACGTCACGTTTTTGTACCTCTTCGTACCGGTTAGAACCACAGAGCCAAGGGTACTGAAAATAGTAACAGGTGCTAAGTACCGATACTAATGGAAAAGCCTCAGAACCGGGCCAAGTAGGGTCAAGTCGGCCCGTACTGGTACTAATAGAAAAGGGGCATAAGTGTACCATTGGTACCCATTTGTTCAGACATGTTGATGACATTAAAAATTAAGTCTCGGGAAGTCGCGTGCAGAAAGGTGTATGTCAATCTGTTTCTCAACAGCTCTCAGTTGCTCTGTATGTAGTTTTTTTTAGCAGTAAAGCTTGAAAAGTTCAGCTCACATGTTGTGAAAAATGTGGACAATGTTGAAATGGTCCTGTTTTTGAGAATTGGAAACTCTGGCAGCAGTCAGTCAAAACATGCCCAATGGTAGACCAGCAAAGCTTAGCTTTAAACCACCTTCTTGTCTTAGTTCAGTTAGTTACTCATGAACTTAGCAAACTCATGTCCTTTCTAAAGACTGCTGCTGAGCTGTGTGCGTCCCTAACCAAAAGGATGGCCCAGCACAGAAGAGCAACATCATGGTAAATGGTCTGTACTTATATAGCGCCTTTCTATCTGAACAAGATACTCAAAGCTCTTTATACTACAATCTGTACAACCCATTCATACAGCACTCTACTAGATCTATACAAAGCTAATTGAACAAATCATCCTAAAAAGACTAATCAGAGCTTTATCACATTCATACACCAATGGGACACACATCAGAGGCATCGAGGGGTTCAGTGTCTTGCCCAAGGACACTTAGACATGTGACTGCTGGTGGATTTGAACCCCCCCAACTCTTGCATTGGAGGAAGACTGCTCTAACCACTCAGCCACAGCCGCCCCAGGCCAGGACTCTGTGGTCGACACTCATCTCCAGGCCAGAGATCACTCGTTCAGGGATGAAGATGTTCACATCCTGGATAGAGAGGAACGATGGTTTGAGAGAGGAGTAAAGGAGGCCATATTTGTGAAGAGAACCTGCCCATCATTAAACGGGGTAGAGGACTCCATGTTCAACTGTCCCCTTCTTACAATTCTATTATTGCTAGTATCACTCAGCCCTCTGCGAATAGCAAGCAGCCATCAGGGCAGTAACGATTAGGGATAATTGAAGGCACAGGAAGGTGACATAATAGGACAAGTCCGAGGTAAGCAACTCACACCTGGTCAGGTATTTCATTACAGTCACTCACATCCAGTGGGCTAGATAATGTGTTCTAATCACTGCTATGTGTGCAGTTTCTCTTGTTGCCACACGGTGAGAAAAGGCATAGTTGTCAACTCCAGTAGGAGCCACTGTCATCTCCTCAGTAAATGAACAAAATGAAACCCAGCATTGGAGTCAGATGACAAAATTAACTTAATGTCATTAAGCTACTACAGAGGAACAGGGGAGCGCCAGAGCAGAGAGTTTTTCTTCCTTACTGTAACAGGCTGATCTAATAATCCAAGAGCTAGAATGGCAGAGCTTGGCCAAGCTGGAACTTGAAAGAACATATTAACAGATCTGAAGAACAACAAGAAAACACAGGAAGAAGACAAACAAAAGAAGGAAAGTCTCACAGCCCCATCAACTCTGCAGAGAGATGAAAAAACCTGCATACACACACAGTAACATACAAGAAGCCTAATCCCTGGGCAACTTGGACATATTTAATCTGCGACTCATTTAGAAGAGGGATTAGTATCTTCCTTCTAATCTCCTCAAAGTCCTCAAATTAAATCTCATGGGCGTGTTTCTCCCTGAGCAACAAAAATCTTCCGTCTGGATATCTGACAGTGTGTCTTCCTGAGGCTCTGTGGCCTGAAGACAGTAAATGTTCAGGTTCTGTCAAGAGAGACTCCAGGAGTGGACAAAATATTATCTGTAGCAGAAATTAAGACACCAGTGCTTTGTATTTTAGTTTACGCTTTATCTGCAGTAAACTGTGTATAAAGAAATGTTCAAAGTACTTTAAAAACCTTGCAAAAAAATAAGTGTAAAGAGTTTGGTCATTTTTGAAGTGATATATTCTGTCTAATATCAGTAGTGTCTGTATTACAATGCAGATGTATGTGTGATGAGCACAGACCATGTATGTGCCGGTCTTCTGACACTAATGAATGCATCAGTCCACTGAGTTAAGTAAACTTTGGACTGACTAGGGAGACTGAAACATTCTCAGCTGTCTCAGCACCAGCAACATATCACAGTTTATGCTCTGCAAAATGTTTAATATTATTTAATGGATCCAGCAATGTTCAGTCAGGTCATCTGGACAGTTCATATTTTCTTGTTGAGAGATGTTTCGCCCTCCATCCGAAGGGCTTCATCAATCTGAGAAGTCGCAAAACAAACTGTTTTCCCCACCAAGCAGTACACTCCTTTAGTGGACCAACCAGTTTGCTGGTGATAAGATAGTTTCTGGGGGCTGTCCTCTCCCCTGTCGACTCCTCCCAAGCTGCCACAGCCAAAGTGGTTCAAGACATCAAAGTTTATGCTCAATAATCCAGGTAAAGAAATCCAACAATGTTCAGTCAGGTCATCTGGACAGTTCCTTTTTGTTGTTGAGAGACGTTTCGCCTTCCATCTGAAGGGCTTCATCGATCTGAGAAGTCACATACAAACTGTTGGCTGTGGCTGCCTGGGAGGAGTGAACAGGGGAGAGGACAGCCCCCAGAAACCATCTCATCACCAGAAAAAACTGTTTGGTCCACTGTAGGAGTGTACTGCTTGGTGGGGAAAACAGTTTGTTTGTGAGTTCTCAGACTGATGAAGCCTTTCAGATAGAGGGCGAAACGTATCTCAACAAGGAAAGAGGAATTGTCCAGATGACCTGACTGAACATTGGTGGATTTCTTTACCTGGATTATTGAGCATGAACTTTGATTATTTAATGTAACACTTTTCCACACCAGTATGTCAATTTTAGGGGAAAAAAGTTGATTTATAAGCCGGTAACTATGTGACACAACATCACTGGAACAAGCCGTACACCGATGTCACCCGTTGCTCAGGGAAATGAAGAGTCAATGCTTGTAGACGAGTGCTTTTCTGCACTGGAAATGAACAGGGAATGCTTAATATTTTGTTGCAAGACATTTAAATGGGTAGGAGCACACTTTGTAGAAGAACAGAAGTAGTTTTTTTATTTGTTTTTTTTGCTTGTCCAAAGCAGTGCAGAGTGACGGTGAACTATGATGGCCTTGGCCACCACTGTTTAAGCTTTGGCCACTCCAAGGGCCTCAGTCAGTACCTCACTTATTTTTCAAGTTATCCAGCTCACAAAATGGATGGACATTTATGGTGGCAGCTAGCTTGGATTTTGACATGGTAACCCAGTTTTCGAAAGGAAATTCTTTTACACACACCAAAATGGAAGTCGGCATATTTCAAATTAGCGTGCTCACAGCATGCATGGATGGACGGACGAAAATATTTTCAATTCCCCTTTTCGCTCCGTGACGGGGGACAAAAATGACCATTCTATTCCTACAGATAGTGTCCTTACCCTGAAGTAGTCGCTGCATGCTGCCAGGACGGCTTTGTGGGCGTGAAACTTCTGCTCCCCAGCCACCAGGGTGACATCGCACAGCTGGCCATCCTTCCTCTGCTGGTTGAGGGCAGACAGAACTGAATCCTGGTGGGACTTTGAATGGCAGAGCCTCTGTCCTGTCAGCATCTCCTTACTGCTGTACACATACAAACGTACACAGAAACTAATGCATGATGTCAAAAAAGATTTATATCAGGATTATTAATAACATTAAAATTAAAAGCATAGCATTCCTTGAATGAATGCATACACTATCACCTGACAGCTTTTGTGCCAGAGTTTAAACTAAAATGATCTTATCATGGAAAAAGCCTGCCCCCCACCCCCCGAGTATCTTTAAAAATATTGAAGACTTTTTGAGTTACACTAAAAATCTGCCCTGTCGATTATGAGATGTTTTGATAGCACGACAAACAAACACACATTTCCACAATGTCTCCATCCTTATCCTTGAAAGGAACATCTTCAGCAAATCAGAAGGTTTGTCACTGTGTTATCTTCATCCATCCATCCATTTTCTTCCGCTTATCCAGGGTCGGGTCGTGGGGGTAGCAGCCTAAGTAGGGAGGCCCAGACTTCTCTTTCCCCAGCCACTTGGGCCAGCTCTTCCAGGGGAATCCCGAGGCGTTCCCAGGCCAGCCGAGAAACATAGTCCCTCCAGCGTGTCCTGGGTCTTCCTCTGGGCCTCCTTCCGGTGGGACGTGTCCGGAACACCTCACCAGGGTGGCGTCCAGAAGGCATCCTAAACAGATGCCCAAGCCACCTCAACTGGCTCCTCTCGACGTGGAGAAGCAGCAGCTCTACTCTGAGTCTCTCCCGGATGATCGAGCTTCTCACCCTATCTCTAAGGGAGAGCCCAGACACCCTGCAGAGAAAACTCATTTTGGCCGCTTGTATCCGAGATCTCATTCTTTCGGTCACAACCCAAAGCTCGTGACCTTAGATGAGGGTAGGAACGTAGATCGATCGGTAAATTGAGAGCTTCGCCTTTTGACTCAGCTCTCTCTTCACCACAACAGACCTGTACAGCGCCTGCTTCACTGCAGATGCTGCACCTATCCGCCTATCGATCTCACGCTCCACTTTTCCTCATTCGTGAACAAGACCCCGAGATACTTGAACTCCTCCACTTGGGGTAGGACCTCCTCCCTGACCCAGAGTGGGCACTCTACCCTTTTCCGGCTCAAGACCATGGCCTCAGATTTGGAGGAACTGATCTTCATCCCGGCCGCATCGCATTCGGCTGCAAACCGCTCCAGCGAAGGCTGTAGATCACAATCTGATGAAGCCAATAAGACCACATAATCTGCAAAAAGCAGAGAAGCAATCCTAAGGCCACCAAAATGGATCCCCTCAACACCTTGGCTACGCCTAGAAATTCTGTCCATAAAAGTTATGAACAGAATCAGTGACAAAGGGCAACCTTGGCGGAGTCCAACTCTCACCGGGAACAGGCCCGACTTACTGCCGGCGATGTGGACCAGGCTCTGACACCGGTCATACAGGGACCTAACAGCCCGTATCAAAGGGCCCGGTACCCCATACTCCCAGAGTATCCCCCACAGGGTTCCCTGAGGGACACGGTCGAACGCCTTCTCCAAGTCCACAAAGCACATGTAGACCGGTTGGGCAAACTCCCATGCACCCTCCAGGACCCTGCTGAGAGTGTAGAGCTGGTCCAGTGTTCCATGGCCAGGATGAAAACCGCACTGCTCCTCCTGAATCCAAGGTTCGACTATCCGACGGACCCTCCTCTCCAGAACCCCCGAACAGACCTTACCAGGGAGGCTTAAGAGCGTGATTCCCCTGTAGTTGGAACACACTCTACTCTCTTTTTGAATAGGGGGACCACCACCCCGGTCTGCCAATCCAGGGGAACTTACCCCGATGTCCACGCAATATTGCAGAGTTGTGTAAGCCAACACAACCCTACAACATCCAGAGCCTTAAGGAACTCCGGGCGAATCTCATCCACCCCTGGGGCCCTGCCACCGAGGAGTTTTTTAACCACCTCGGTGACCTCAGCACCAAAGATTGGAGGGCCCGACCCAGAGTCCCCAGGCTCCGCTTCCTCAGTGGAAGATGTGCCGGTGGGAACGGCATAACCGTGTTAACTGTGTTATCTTAATCTCAGTCAAACTCACAGCAAGAGCATAAAACTCCCCATTTTGTCTTGGCTGTTTCCCTAAATGGTGCTTCATGCCAGAAGAAGAGATAAAACTGAGAAAAGTGTGTGTGTGTGTGTGTGTGTGTGTGTGTGTGTGTGTGTGTGTGTGTGTGTGCGTGCATGTGTGTGCATGTGTACTCTGAGCCCAGTGTAGAAAGAATATCAACATAGACTGCTTATTTGGTAGTCTGTCATCAATCAATCAAACACAGGAAAAAATGGTCGGCCATTTGAAAAGGAATGAAACAAAGTTCTGAACTGTTCAATCAAAAATTAACTGTCTTCAGTCTGTTTGAAGCTGAATAGCAGGTATCATGTGAAATAAATTAATCAGTTTTACTTTAATACGCATGAAATAAGCTTTCAAATAAAGGATCAAACCTGGAGCAGCAGAGGATGCAACAAGTTTGAAGGTAACTGGACAATCCAGGACGCAGAGTCGTTGTCTCACAAACCTCTCTTACACAAAGTTTCACAAGAATCTGATTTGTATTTGGACCGTTTTAGTCCTGTTGAGCTCTCTGAATTGTCCAAAATAATATCTTCATCCAAACCATCAACATGTCTACTAGGCCTCGTCCCAACCAGACTGTTCAAAGAGACGTGCCCTGTCATATAGATCCTCAATTTGGATGTGCTTAATCCATCGTTAATTAATAGTTCTGTACCATTGGGCTTTAAGGTCGCTGTAATAAAATCTTTACTTAAGATACTAATCTGGATTCCAAAGTGCTGGCTAATTATAGACCTATATCCGATCTCTTATTCATCTCAAATTTCATGAGGAACTAGTTGCAAATCAAATTTATCAACATCTGGACAAAAAAAATTGTCATCTGTTTCTATCAGGATTTAGAGCTTATCATAGCTTAGAAACAGCATTAATGAACGTTACTAATGATAATGATATTCTCATGGCCTCAGACAGTGGATTCATGTCTATACTTGTCCTGTTAGATGTCAGTGCTGCATTGATACAATTGATCACAATGTTTATTTAAAGAGACTTGAACGTGATATTGGGATTACAAGAACAGCTCTAAAATGATTTAATTCATGTTTATCTGAAAGATTCCAGTTTGCTTGTTCAAGGTAGTAATTGATTTTCTTCATACACCAGGGTTAGACACGGAGTTCCTCAGGGTTCTTTATATAGTATGTGCTTCTATTAGGTATAGTTATTACAGCACAAGATACATTTTCATTGTTATGCTGATGATCCTCTGTTTTATTTATACATGGAACCTGATCAATCCGATCAGTCACTTTAATTACAAGCTTGTCTTACAGATATAAAAACCTGAATAAAAATCCTTAATGTTTTGCTACCAAACTCAGGGCAGAGGTCAAGATTTTTGGATCTGAGAACAAACAATACAGCGATTCACTTCCTCTGGATGGCATTCATTTGGCCTCAAGCTCGAATGTAAAGAACCTTGGTGTTATGTTTGATCAGGATACATCATTTAACTCCCACATTAAAAATATTACCAGAACTACTCTCCTTCTGTACAATATCACTAAGATTAGAAACATATTGTCTTTAAATGCTGCAGAAAAGCTGATCCATGCATTTATCACTTCTAGACTGGACTACTTTAATTATGTATCATTTGAATGTCCAATATATTTTAAAGAAGTCTTTAGTTGTTTAAAAATGCTGCTGCTAGAGTTCAGATGAGAGTTAGGAGAGAAGATATTTCTGCAGTTTTAGCTTCTCTCCATTTGCTCCCTGTCAAATTCAGAACAGACTTTAAAACCTTACTTTTAGGATGCAACAACTAAGCTGTATCTCTTATTAAAGACCCATTTGTTACATATTTCCCATATATTTAACTAAGCACTTCACTCCCGGACTCACAGACCTACCCATCCATGTGGTGCTAAGAGAATGTGACTCATTAGACCAGGCTTCTACTTCAAGTATCCTACAGTTCAGTCCTATGCTCATGTGCCTGTAGACACCATCAGACATGGATCAGAATGGGCACCCTGACATGTATTCAGCTACACATACGTAACAAATAGTAATGCACTGTGCATTTTGAAACCTGCATGAACTTTATTGTTCATGCAGGTTTCTGTTGTTGCTTCACAGATATTGCATCCTTGGACCATTTTGGTCAGTTCCAACTTCTTTAGACTGGAAACATCCCCAAAAACGGGAAAATGAAGTGAAATGTATTATCGTTGTTTGTCCCATACGACGACGAAATGTGTGCTCTGCATTTAAACCATCACATGGACATGAGTCCAGCTACAGGCAGGAGGTGGAACACCTGGAGAGCTGGTGCAAAGAGAATAACCTTCATATCAATGTGAAGAAGACAAAGGAGATGACTGTGGACTTCAGAAGGGACAAACACACCTACACCCCCCTGAACATAAGAGGATCTGCAGTGGAAGTGGTCTCCAGCTACAAGTACTTGGGTGTACACATGAATGACAACCTCAGCTGGAGCAACACCACCAGCCTGATCCAGAAAGCTCATCAGAGACTCTACTTCCTCAGGCGGCAGAGACGAGCTGGTCTGGGAAGCTCAGTCCTCACCTCCTTCTACAGGTGTGCAGTGGAGAGCATCCTGTGCTCCAGCATCAACGTGTGGCATGGAGGCTGCACAGCTGCAGAAAGAAAAGCTCTGCAGAGAGTGGTGAAGGCTGCACAGAAGATATTGGAGTCAGTCTCCCCACCATCACAGACATCTACACTTCCAGATGCAAGAAGAGGACCACCTGCATCATGAAGGATCCCACTCACCCAGCACACACACTTTTTGCCCCACTCCCCTCAGGAAGGAGGTTGAGGAGCATTAAGTGTAGAACCACTAGACTGAGGAACAGCTTCTACCCTGAGGCTGTTAAGACTCATGAATCTCTAACCAGGATAATCACTGTGAAAAATCACATCATGTTGCTGCTGATCTGTTTCATGTTGCTGCTGATCTGTTTCATGTTGCTGCTGATCTCATTCAATGTTGATGTGTTCATTCGTGCACATCTGCTCACAGACTCATGTTCATGTTTGTGCTGATGTTCAATGTTTTATGTTATGAGTGCTTAGTGTATATTTAGTTGATGTTTTTCTTAGTTCATATCTTAGATGTTATTACTGTTTTTCTTATACATTTTATTGTTGGATGTAACTGGGACCCTGTGTACATAATTTCGCTCCACCACATGTACCACATGAGGTGTGAATGACAATAAAGAATCTCTGACTCTGACATGAGATACACCCAGGTGGAGCAGTGGGCAGCTATGTAAGCGCCCATGGAGCAGTTAGGGAACAGGTGTCGAAGACACCACAACACGTGGGAATGGCGAAGAGTTGAACTTGCAACTTTCTGGCCCTGGTCTGGATCGTCTACTCTACCACTGCACCAAAGCTGCCCCAGTTATGAAGACATTTCAACCCAGTTTTCTAGCCCTCCAAGTGCCCTTGGGCTAAACCAGTACTTCTCAATTATTTTCGGTTACGACCCCCCCTAGGAAGAAGTAAACATTTCGTGCCGCCCCAACTCTCCGCCGCGACTGTAAAGAGTGTAATTTGTCTAAAAAAAAAAAAATTATAAATATGCCTCTGCATAACATTGTACCCTTATTAACATTAATTAAATAAATAAAGAAAGAAATATAGATCAACTTACAACAAAGATTATTAACATTGTTTTATAGTCTGTAACAGAAAAGGCTTAAAGTGCATCTGCCTGAAATTTAAAAAATATATATATCCTTATTTAAACTGTAAACATTTTTGACCATTTGATACTGAACAATCAAATTAAATACAATCAATAAATAATAATAAATTCAAATTGATCAGCAACATTTTAAGTCAGGAGTGTTATATAAAACAATTTGACCTACAAAATAAAAATTAATTAAACAATTTGTGCAGTTTTTGTTTTTAATCAAAATGAGGAAGTCAGGATTAATGGCTGCAATGAGCACGTTTTGCAGTGAACAGCTTTTTAAAGTTTGAAACATGATCCTGCAGCTCTCAGCTCCTGCTCAATGTTTAGCTGGACCTGGACCTGGACCTGGACCTGGACCTGGTCTTCAGAGCAGCAACAGCAGAGAAGACGCAAAGAGCTCAAGAGTGAGCAAGCTGGCTGGCTGGGGGGGTGGGGGGTGTCCAGGGTTATGCGGCGCGCTCACAAGAACCTGACAAGTTGTTTAATGACAAAATATATTTTGTTAGCAAAGAATAGAGTCCTAACATTTGTTAAACATCTGTTTTTATAACAAATTTAAAAAAACATCAAACTTGAGCTTTGACAATCGATAAAACTAAAAAAAAAGTTGTCAACGTGAAAGAGGAAAGAGGGGGCAGGTGTCGCTCTCGCTTTGACTTTATACTCTTTGTTGCTGCATGCTGTGGGTGAAATGCGTCCAGAGCGGAGGATTTGTTAGTAAAGAATAGAGTCCTAACATTTATTAAACATTACTTCTGTATTAAAAAAAAAAAAAACACAAAAATTGTGGTTTGAAAAACTAAAAAATAAATTGTTAAAGTAAAAGAGGAAGAGGAGCAGGTAACACTCTCGCTTTGACTTTATTCTCTGTCTTATGCGTGCTGTGGGTGACAAGCGTCCAGTCACTGCTCCGGCCCCCCCAGGGGGGCGCGCCCCACTATTTGAGAAGGACTGGGCTAAAATAACCCCCAAGGTCATTTTGATCTAAGTGCAGCAGGAAGCCTAGACATCCTTATATATCTTTTACTGTCGACACCTAAACCCATATTCTTGCAATTCTTTTCTCTACAACATCAGTTTCAAGAACACTGATATGTTCTGCCCAGTGCCAGGTGTCGTACTGATCCTAGGCTGCTCAGAACCATTGTCAAATCTGGAAGGACTATTTCCAATTAAATGCTTGTGTCACTGACAGATACATGACATTGTGGAAAAATAACCAAATGTCTGAACACTCAATAGTCAGACAGCAAACCAGCTGGTATTAAGATCCTGCATCTATCAGTCATTGGTGCACTGTTTGTTTTACTGCTGTGTTCTCTACTGACCAAAGTTCTTTCACACAAGTGTACTTTTTGAGAGTACTTTTTAAGGCGTTTGAAATTATAAAAAAAACAAACAAAAAAAAAAACAACTGGCACTCTGGCTAGCTATTAGTCGGTCAGGACAAAGACTTTAGCATCTTTCTCCATACTTCTATGTGCGTGTACACGTGTGTGTGTGTGTGTACCAGTATATTTGTGTCTATCTAAGTTAATTCCATGTAAACCATCCATCCATTATCTTTACCCGCTTCTTCCATTTTGGGTCACGGGGGTCGCCGGTGCCCATGTCCAGCTGTGCGAGGGGCGGGGTACACCCTGGACGGGTCACAAGTCCTCCATGTAAACCAATGTCCCTCAAAACCACTTCTCAACAATAAATAAAACTGTAAGGTACAGTATATTTTACTCATGTTTTAAAGGATATTTATCCTTTTTAACTATTTATATTCGATAGGGACAACTGAGTGCGAGTTGTTTTTTTAAAGTGCTCAAGTGGAACAATCATTCACTGAGTTTCCTCTCTGTAACCTCAACTTTATTCAAACAAGACAGCTAACAAGTGAAAAATTGATTTCCTTATTTAGAGAAAGGAGAGTCTGTAACAAGACAAACATATTGATTCCTGCCTGGATCTCCTGGATGTTTTAAAATAGAATAACAGTGTGAAGCAGCATGTGTGGCCCGACTGAGCTGCCTACCTGACGCTTGCTTCAGAAGGCATGCCCCTTTACAAAGGAGGTGGTGGAGGTGGAGGGGAGGTGTGCTGTAGCTCCTGAGGGCTGTCGACTCCTCACTGGTTGCATACATCAGCCTGATAGGACAGAACAGCACGTCAGCTTTACTCAGAGCATCCGCTCGACCCACACAGACTGTCACAACCTCCTTTTGCACTGTGTGAACACACCGAACCACACGCCATGCCTAATGCTGAATTCTCCCTTCCCGCAGCAATGCTGCTGTTGACGTTGACGGCTTTTATAGATGCTGCTCCGCGTCCTTTTAAAGCAGAGACACTGGAGGACAGACTACAAGCACTGCACTTCTCTGAACATCCCGAGAGACCAATTTGCACGCAGCCCTTCTTGTGTACCTACATCCTTGACATCAAGAGCTACACGCCTGAATCTGATACAATGTGAATGGGACAAAAGCAGAATTTAAAACGTGTGGTGCAACATGAAGTTCCTCTCGGGTGTCGGCTCTATGGAAGGAAGGAAAACTGTGCTTTTATGAAGTTGAGCTCAAGTGTAGTGAGCGTACAACTGGCTGCTCTGCAGTGTAGTCCCCTACGAGACTTAATGATCGACCCGCTGGATGACCTTCAGACACATGGCCACGGGCCGCACTGAGCTGAGGAGGAGGAGGGAGCGTGGGACAGACTGCTCACATATTGACATGGCAGGCAGGCAAACTGGCCTCCTCTGTGTGCTTCAAACAGAAACGTTCTGACTGTATAAATCACCGAACTCTGCAGCACAATGCAAACTACTAATTTGTTTTGTTAGTGTTAATAGTGTGTGGATGCTGACTATTGCTTTCCTGTTTCTAGTTTCTTAAATACATTATAATATATATATATATATATATATATATATATATATATATATATATATATTGCAATCTATGTACATTCATGCATCAATACATTTGACTCTATAAGGAACAGTGCGCTACGACTTTTAATATTTAATAATTTAACCTTATTTTCAAAAAATATCATAAAAACATCTCTTCAGTCCACCAAAAACATCGTTCTCTGAAATCAATTTTTAGTGCGTTTGCTCTGTTTTTGTCTTCGCATGCAACTTTTAGCTTTTACCTACTACTTTAGGCATTAAACTATGATTTTTGCCAATTTTAGATTCAAGCTAATGTTTTGATCTTTTTACCCGTTTGCAGCTGTTTTATTAATTTTACCTTTTAGCTATGGTTTTGATCATTTTAGCCTTTAGCTACAGTTTTGTCATTGTAACTTTTTGTTACATTTTTGCCAGTCAGTGCACAACCAACGATTACTTTCTGAAAGTTTCCTCGATATTTGTCCATTTGTTCATTTGATATGTTGGTAACAAGCAAGCAGACTTGACAACGGTTAAAGCTAAAGATTTAACGTAACTCTTGAGCAATGAGTAGTGGGTCAAAAACACACCCAACCGAGCCACACCAAATTACAACATGATATCTGTAAAACTGACTGAATTACAGCCTTTTTGTGTTTTCTAAGGCAGTTGTTGTGGGGAACATTGTGGCTAGGCCTGTCACGATAACACATTTTGCTGGGCGATTAATTGTCTCAGAAATTATTGTGATAAATGATAATATAGTTTGAAACTTGACAATAATTAGTAATTAAGATTTAAGAAGAAATGTTGGTTAATTTGTATTGAGTGCAGTACCTTTTTTCGACCACCGGATGGCAGTATAAGACTGTTTGAACCGAAGGATGGATAGTGAGGGAGCGAGCAGAGATGCTCTTTTAGAAAAATGTAACAATTTATATCTCCTGAACGATTCATTAAAATGAATCAATGTTTAGATATTTTGCTAACAGACATAGTTGCTCCTACATAGCAAATAGGGAATGTTTTAAACGTAGGGCTTTCACGCATTCTTAGCGCTCAGAACATGAGTTGGTGATCCGACTCAGCTACTACCACCCAAAATATTTGGTCGATATCTGAAAAGCAGACAGACTTATGACCATTTACAAGTTTTTGAAGATCAGCCAGCTGTGGCAGCCACCTTGAATGACTCCAATTTTTTTACAGTTGTAGATGTTCGTCCAGTTCTTACTTTCTGAAACTTTCATTAAAATTCGTCCAGTGGTCCCTGAGATATTTTAGTAATAAACACACACAGGGCATAAACAAGCAGAGGACGATCAAACCTGAAAGAGGAGAAGAAAACAGAATATAATGTTTTTACGGAATAAACAGAGGGAGGGTGTCCACATGCGGAACAGCCCTCAGCTAACAGGACTGAGCAGGGGGAGGCAGGTTTGTGTTGCTAATAACCAGACTCCATTAATGACACTTCCCAAAAAGCTTCCAGCTGTCAAAACGTCTCCTAGCAACAGGCCAGCGCCTCGGTGCGCGAGCTGAGGGGACAGCCTCCATAACCCTGTGGCAGCCACACAATAACACACACACACACACACACACACACACACAAACACACACCTCCGGAGCTCCTTGGCGTCTTCTCCTGGCGATTTTTCTATATCCGGTTATCTTGTCATTCAGCTGTCGGCAGCGTTACGTACCGCATATGAATGTGTTATGAGTCAGCCCCGTCCTCCGTCTCTGTGGCGGCGTCCTCCGGTTCGCATGTCATTTGATGTCGGTGCTTCTTGTCTCCCACATCCACGGAGAGGGAGAACGCAGCCGAGCCGCTCCGGTACCGCCGACACTTTACTGGCGGTGCTCCTCCTGAAGCTCGTGAATCGTTACATTTTAACCCCGCCCCTTCACGGCGCTCGGCGGTCACATGAATGAGGGCACCGTCGGGAACGAGCGCCCCCGTGTGGATAATTTGGAAATGACACGCTCACATGTTTTATTTTATTTAACCTTTATGCAGGTATTGTACAGGTATTATTATTAATATATGTATTTATGTATACAGGTAGTCTCATTGAGTCACGAGAACTCATTTTCAATAGAGAGCTGTTGGTGGGGGTTAAAAAAACTGGTAAAAAAAAATCACTGTAATGCCACTCGATTGTTGATGTGCTGCTGACTATCCATGCTGCTGATCTCATGCTGCTGTATTCATTCATACTCATCTGCTCACACTCATGTTCGTGCTGCTGTTGTTCGGCTTATTATTTTTTACTATTAAGTGTTTAGCATATTCTTAGTTTAGCGTATTAGTTCATATCTTAGATCTTCCATCCATCCATTATTTTTTACCCATCCATACATTCATCCATTATCTTTACCCGCTTATTCCAATTTGGGTCACGGGGGTCGCCAGTGTCCAGTGTCCATGTCCAGCAATCACTGTGCGAGGGGCGGGGTACACCCCGGATGGGTCTCCAGTCCATCACAGGGACACATAGAGACAAACGAGACAAACAACCATTCACTCTCTCACTCTCACCTAGGGACAATTTAGAGTTACCAATCAGCCTAACATGCATGTTTTTGGTTTGTGGGAGGAAACTGGAGCACCCGGAGAAAACTCATGTATGCACGGAGAGAACATGTAAACTCCACGCAGAAAGGCACTTGGACAGGGATTTGAACCGGAGACCTGCTCGCTGAGAGGCAGCAGCTCTACCAGTTGCACCACCGTGCTGCCCTATCTTAGATCTTTTTACTGTTTTTCTTTTACATTTTCTACTTTTGTTGGTTGTAACTGGGACCCTGTGTACACAGTTTTGTTCCACCACATGTACCACATGAGATGCAAATGACAATAAAGACACCTTGACCTTGACCTTAAAGGCCTTGCTCAAGGGTCTGGGGTGGGGCAAATGAGGATGGAGGCAGGTGTGGGTGTTTCACCTTTCCCACCCACATTTAGATTTTTTTCATTCAACCTTTATTTATACAGGTTAGTCTCATGGTGTCACAAGGACTGGAGTCAAACTGGTGACCTTCTGATCACGCGCCCACCTTCTCTAACCTCTGCTCCACCACTCCCATGTGATTACATTGGGGACATGCTCGGCTGCAATTGATATTTTAAACTGAATTAATAAATCTTTGATTATCATTAAGCGTCAAAGCCACTTTGGGAAATTAAGCCAGTGCTCTGATAACACGTTTGAACAGAGTAGTCTCTTTTGTAAAATGTGAGTAAAACCCATACAGTTATAATTTCTGCATTAATTTATCTCAAGAGTTAGGTCCGTATTAATCCAACACTGTTCAGTCAGGTCATCTGTTGCTTTTGTTGCTGAGACATTTTGGCCTTCATCCAAAGGACTTCTTCAGTCTGAGGAACCACCAAACAAACTGATTCCCACAACAACAGCATACTCCATAGTGGGTAAAGAAAACTTTGCTGGTGCTAAAATGGCCTCTAGGGCACGCCCTCCCCCCCTCACGTCTTGGTCTGCTGCCTTCATACATCTCCTCCTACATGTCTCTGCGTGAGTGCAGCTACAGCGTGCGCTCTCAGGACATTATTACCTGCAGTGTTCCCTCAGTGAGGACTGAACTAGATAAAAGGGCCTTCTCCTACTCCGCTCCTGTTTCCTGGAATATCTTACAAAAAGATTTGAAGCTCTCGACCGTGACCTCTCTAAGTAGCTTGAAACATCTGTTAAGTTCCTGGAAAAAAACAATGCAGACATGTTCCTGTTTTTAGTTTTCTACATCGCCTTACAACCTAGCTGTTTTGGTTTCATTTTTTTTAACACAATTTTCTTTCATTTGTTCTTCTCAATTTATACGCCTTCTTTTATGATTGTCTATTATTGTCTTTTTGTTGTCTACTGTTGTCATCAGTCTTTGTTAAAATCAGGTCTCTCTTGTAAATGAGTCTCCAAGGCTCTAAAGGGACTAACTTGTATAAATAACTGTTGACTGAAAAAATAAACAAGCATTTGTAAAATTGTGAATGCTGTATAACAAACGTGTGCAGTTTTAATTTTTATTTTTTATTTTATTTTATTTTTTGCTCGCCCTAAAGAAGACATGCTATGACACTAAGTCCACCATAAAGCGTTTAGAAACATGTTTTAGGCTCTGATGTTTCGCTTGAGAACAAAGTGGGCACATTTCCAACTGCACCTGAAGGCGTCTTCGGTTCAGCTCAGGCAGTCGGAGCGGAGGGGCGGTCTGGAGGTTCTCCCAGAAAAAAAATAAAAAAACGCTCTTAAATTTCTCACAGAACCACTCCGACAAGTTCATGTAGTCAGCTGGTGAATACACAGCTAGCAGCTCGGGGTAAGTGTTTTTGTTTCGTGTTTTTAGAGCCGAAGTTTCGTTCTTTTTTCTACTTTTCCGCCGAAGTCGTCTCGGGCCGCGGTCCCACGGCAGAAGCAGGGATGTTGACTACACTTTCTCACCGCAGTCGGTGACTAATTTACAGCTAAACAGCTCTGCTGCCGGCTGTGGACTCAAATATTCACGGGGGAACCAAGTCTGAGTCTAAGCAGACTGGTTAAGGTGTAAAACCGACCATGTTTCGGGTTTTAGTCCCCTCTACGGTGCTAAAGTCGAGGAAACGTGTCGAAAATGAACTTTGTTGTGTGTTTGCCCTGGTAACCAGCAGGTAACCAGCAGGTAACCAGCAGGTTTCTGTGTACTTTTACTTCAGGTTTGATAATTAATCTGTAACTATACTAATTCTAAGTTCTGTGCACAAGCACTGTGTTAGCTAAAGCTTTGAACACATTGGAAATCAGCACATCACTCATGTCGTGATGTAGGTGTGTGTGGGGGGATTTGATAACTTTAATGTGAATTTTAATGTGCACCAACAAGCTGAGACTTATTCTCCTAAACCAGCTATGATCTTTATGATCCTCCACCCCTGTGTAGTCACACAGACCTGATTGATGTCTAAAAGCTGCTTCCCAAACTGGATCCTTTGGATCCTGAAGGGACTTGGTTATTTTTTTAGTGTTTGGGCGATTGGTCTGTGTGGGACAGATTGTTAAAAATGAAAGCTTTTTTGTGGTGTGCAATGCAGCAACAAACAGCATGGGGTTTATTCTAATGAAAATCTGATTTGTCACATTTGTTGCAGGGATGTTGGAGTCCTGCTGCTGATCAGCCACGAGAGCGTTTTAGCTGTTGTAGACGTCACAGAGATGTCTCCAGAAGAACTGATCCGTGGATGACCGGAGGGAAACAACAACGCTGTTACGGTCAACAAATTATATCCTCCGGTAGAGCTGAAGAAAGACCTGTTTCAGCCCACTTTCACACCCAGTCAGCGTTGCGATGCTGAGGCCAGAACCACTGTGGGTGTGCGTGGCTCTGATGTGGGTCAGAAGCTGCAGTTCCCACAGCCTGTTCACCTGCGAGCCCATCAAAGAGACTCGCTGCAAAGAGATGCCCTACAACATGACTTTCTTTCCCAACATGATGGAGCACTATGATCAGGACATTGCAGCCAGTAAAATGGAGGTAAGTCCCCAATGTGTAAAATTAATTTTCCTATTTCCTAATTAATGCACTGTTTGGATGTGTTGTGACATATTCCTTAACATTTAAAGCCATGCCTACATTCCCAACCATTTATTACTTTTTAATTAATATTGGGGGACTTTTTATACAACAGGTGTGCCACATCTCACAAAGATGTAGAGCTCCATCTGCCAGGCGCCTAAGTTGAGATGATAGAGTACAACCTCTAGTCTGAAGAAAAGGAATGTTCTGTAATGTGTAATGCATGTTGCATGTTCTCTCCGTGCATGCGTGGGTTTTCTCCAGGTACTCTGGTTTCCTCCCACAGACCAAAAGGATAGGAAAGGGAAAGGAAGGAAGGAATATAAGGAAGGAAGGAAGGAATATAAGGAAGGAAGGAAGTTGGGTAAGGAACGGAAGGAAGGGAGGAACGTAAGGAAGGAAGGAACGTACAGAAGGTAGGAAGGAACGTAAGTAAGGAAGGAAGGAAGTTGCGTAAGGAAGGAAGGAACCTAAGGAAGGAAGGAAGGAAAGAGCTTACAGAAGAAGGAAAATAAGGAAAGAACAAATGTATGGAAAGAAGGAAGGAACGTATGTAAGGAAGGAACTTAAGGAAGGAACATAAGGAAGGAAGGAACATACGTACAGAAGGAAGGAAGGACTTTATGGAACATAAGGAAGAAAGGAGCAAAAGGAAGGAAGGAATGGAAGGAAGGAAGGAAGTTAAGTAAAGAAGGAAGGAAGGAATTTAAGGAAGGAACATAAAGAAGGAAGGAACACATGGAAGGAAGGAAGGAACGTACAGGAAGGAAGGAACGTACAGAAGGAACTTATGGAACATAAGGAAGAAAGGAGCAAAAGGAAGGAAGGAACGTATGGAAAGAATGCAAGGAAGGAAGTTTGGGAAGTTGATAGTTTTAGAGGGAATGTTGTCCATTGTTGTCCCATGTAGGAAATAGCTGTTCAACAGTCCTGGATCCTCTTTGCTGGATTTTTCATTTCAAGACTTGTTTTCGAGTGGTGAGAGATCAGTTCAGCTGCTCTTCTACTATGAAGCCATGCTGTTGTAGCAGATGCAGCAAGCAATTTAGCATCGTCTTGCTGAAATAAAAAGGCCTATTCTGAAAAAGATGTCTGGATGGGAGCATATGTTGTTTACCAAAATCTGTATATATTCGTGTGTCTTCTGGCTGTGCCTCTTTATTTTTTAAACTGTTTCACTAGTACAAAAATAATAATAATTAAAAAAACATGTAAAACATGCTGAATGTTGCAGAAGTCTTACCTGTAGCAGGAAATACTTCAAAGTTGGTCCTGAGTACTTTGGCATCCAACCTGTCAAAGATACATTTGTGAAAATAACTATGGTTGCTGCTAACTTATTAGTATTGTGTGGTGTTGTGTTATAATAATTCAGTAGTGATCGCTGCCTGCTTATCAGCCGCTGTGTATGGTGCCCCACAGAGGAAAATTACATTAAACTTTTCCCCTTGTTGTTTGTGTTAGCTGAATGGTACGTTTGTATTACATGTGGATGATGTGGGTTGGAATCTGAGCTGAGCTGCTAGAATCTCCGCTCCCCCATCTCCAAGTGGCATAGCTGCATGAGGATTTGTTAGGCGGGGTGCTCAGTTCTGTTGACAGGCTGGGGCACCCTCCTTGAATAATGGCAGGGGAAATACTGTGCTTCAGTCCGTCTTTAACTTCTGTCACATGTTAGTCCAGTCCGTCTCTAACGTTCTGACAGATGTTGGTCCAGTCTGTTCCTAACGTTCTGACAGATGTTGGTCCAGTCTGTTCCTAACGTTCTGCTCGATGTTGGTCCAGTCCCTCCTTAAGGTTCTGCCAGATGTAGGTCCAGTCCGTCCATCCCTAATGTTCTGCCAGATGTTGGTCTAGTCCATCATTATAGTTCTGCCAAGTGTTGGCCCGCTCCATCCCTAATGTTCTGCCAGATGTTGGTCCAGTTCATCTCTGGCTTTCTGTCAAGTGCTCATCAAGTTCATCCTTAATGTTATGCCAGATGGTGGTCCAGTCTATCCCTAATGTTCAGCCAGGTGTTCGTCCATTCC